TTCGAGACTTTGGTGGTGAACTGCTTTAACTATTGCAGTCCATTGCTGTAGGTAGAAGCACAATGCCCATTTGGGAGGGAATTCCAGGATTTTAACAAAGCGACACAGTGAAGGAACGGCAATATATTTCCAAGTCAGGATGGGGAGTAGCTTAGAGGGAAGCTTACAGGTGGTAGTGTTCTTATGTATCGTTTGTTTTCGTCCTTTTAGATGGAAGTGGTCCTAAGGTTTGGCTGTCTAAGGATCTTTGGTGAAATCCTGGAGTGATTCTTGTAGATTATACACACGCTGCTACTGATCATTGGTGGTGGAGAGAATGGATGTTTGCGGATGTGGTGCCAATCACGAGTGTTGTCGTAGCAAGTAGGGGGGTATTCCATTACACTCCTGTCTTATCTTGTAGATAGTGGATAGGTTTTCGGGAGTCAGGGGGCGAGTTACTCGCTGCAGTACTCCTAACTGCTGAGCTGCTCTTGTAGCTATTGTATTTATATAGCAAGTCCGGTTGAGTTCTGGTCATTCATAACCCCTAGAATGTCGATAGTGGGGGAATCAGTGATGGTAACACCATTGAAGGTCAAGGGGCACTGTTTAGATGGTGTCTTATTGGAGATGGTCACTGCCTGACATGTGTGTGGTGCAAATGTTACTTGTCAGCTCAAGCCTGGATATTGTCGAGATATTGTTAGATTTGAACAGAGACTGCTTCAGAATCTGAATAGTTGTAAGTGGTGCCAGACATCACACAATTATTTGTAAACATCCCCACTTCTGATCTAATGATCAAGTGGAGGTCATTGATGAAGCAGCTTAAGATGGTTCGGCCTAGGGCACTACCCTGAAGAACTCCCGCAGAGATGTCCTGGAGCGGAGATGGCTGACCTCCATCAATCATAACCATGCTACCACATACCAGGTATAACTCCAACTAGTGGAGAGTTTGTCCCCAGATTCCTACGGATTCCAGTTTTGTTCAGATTCCTTGATGCACGCGGTTAAAAGTGGCCTTGATTTCAAGGGCTGTCACTTTTACCTCATCTTTGGAATTCAGCTCTTGTTCACATTTGAAGCAAGGCTGTAATGGGATCAGGAGCTGAATGGCTTTCGTGGAACCCAAATGGGCGTGTGATCGGGTTGTTGCTAAGCAGGTGCTGCTTGGTAGCACTGTTGAAGACACCTTCCATCACTTACTGATGATTGGGAGCTGACTAGTGGGAAAATTCAATGCTGATGTGATCTTGGATCCAGAGGCACAGTGATGGCCTCTCAGCCTAGCAGCTACAGCCCTTCCTGGAAGACTTGACAGCTGTAAGTAGCAAATTCTCTATTATGTCATTTCCAGGACTGTCCTTCACATGTTTGGACTAAGGCTGAAATGAAGTCACAAGCAGAGTCCTGGCAGAAACTTAACTGAGCAAATTATTTCTTTGAAGCCCTGATTGATAGCACTGTCAATGACCCCTTCTTTCACTTTGAGGGAAAATAATTGGCTGGGTTAGATTTATCCTGCTGTGTCTGCGCAGGACATACTCAGGCAATTTTCCGCATTGTTGGGTAGAAGTCAGTGAACAGCAAGGTCTGGAGCACAAATCTTCAGTACTATTGCCGGAATGTTGTCAGAGCCCACAGCCTTTGCAACATCCATTTGCGTGCCTCCAACCATGTTTTGTAAGAACAAATACAATGCAAGAACAAGTTGTGTCAGATAGAGGAGTTGATGGTGGACAGAGACTAGTTAGGTCTTTGTTCTAGGGAAAAAAAAAAAGAGGTTTAGTGGGATGGGTGGGGGAGCTGCAATCTTCCGTCACAAAGTCTCATCTTCTAGCTACTTCAATCACAAAAGTAGCTCACTTTACTTACAATACTGGAAGCTGATAGTAAGTACAATGAAAAGCACAGGGCTGAACCCTTGTGTGTAAATATTAAATATCATGAAATCCACAGTGCATTTAGTAGCATAACACTGCCAATAACCTTCCAATCTCAACAAAGACATATCAGAGCACACCATCAAATGATAGGTCCATGACATGGAACTGTGAACCATCAGGAGATTGCTTCTCAAAGTTAATCATGGTAAATACTGAATTCTGACTTACTAACACATGCTTTCATGCCCCTTCATCATTCAAAAGCTCACCTACCTCATTAGCTAAAACCCACGCCAAACACGTTGAAGTGAAGGGAGATTTACATATTCAATTCCAATGACATGCAAGAGGCATATGAATTACCAAATGCCTCAAGATGCCAAGGAGAATTAAATAAAAAGATGTGCCCACTCTTAAGGCAGACTTCCTTTCCATGCTTCTGAGTAACTGCATGCCAGAACACGCACTTCCTGAACTTGTACACATTTAGAGGCTAAGTCAGGAAGGTACTTTTAGAAAGAAGAGTGAATCAAGATGCACAGGAGGCTAGAATTTGAGGAACACAGTTCTCAGAAAACTGTCGAGTTGGAGGAGGTTAGAGACATAGGCTGGGCCATAGTTACAGACAAGCTTTAAGGAGAATTTTAAGTTTAAGGCATGATGAGCTGGACTTTGCAGGGGTTAGGATAAAGGCAGAGTTTATCACAAGCTCAAATTTATGGAGGGTAAGATGAAAGCATTAAAATATTTGAATCTGGAGATTACAAAAGCATGGACAACGCAGACCTAAATGAAAGAAAGATGGTTAAAATGTTAGATAATAAAGGTGTAGAGCTGGACGAACACAGCAGGCCAAGCAGCATCAGAGAAGCAGGAAGGCTGACCTTTTGGGCCTAGACCCTTCTTCAGAAATTCAGAATTTCTGAAGAAGGGTCTAGGCCTGAAACGTCAGCCTTCCTGCTCCTCTGATGCTGTGTTCATCCAGCTGTACATCTTGTTATCTCAGATTCTCCAGCATCTGCAGTTCCTACTATGTCTGGTTAAAATGTTGACGAGCTAGAACATAAAAGTATTTCGCCAAAGACTGAACCAAAAAGAATTAGTTAGTATGTGCCCAAAATTGAATGACACCTGAATGTTTTGGGAGGTCTTTTAGTCCAGGTGCATCATCTCGAATAGATCATTCCCTAAGGAAGTGAACACAAGGAGATTGAAAAAAAAGACAAAACATTGTCAGTGGCTACAAAAGCATGATTTTACAACATCCCAGTTAGTTAGAATTTATTTTCTAAATCAACAAGACAACCTCTGGTGCGAGGAAAGGTGCATATTTGATATTTTATATTGTTATGCAAAAGCCAATGCTTATTAAAAACTTTTGTTGCAGTCCTGTTTTATACCACTAAGTTAACTACTTGGTAGCATGGGCTAACCTGCAAACAAAAGATGCTCAAATTACTTTCAGGGAAGCAATCATGTGGCTGGGCATTATGTCTAAACACTGAAAAAAAGGTGCAGTCGTTGATGATTTAAATTGGTGTTTACTGAATTTTGTATAAATAAGTCTATAAAGGAAACCTGCATGAAAAAAGATAGATTTCCTTCTGGGGATTCCACTGTTCTCAGGTTTGGAAGAGGAAAATGCTAAAAACCATGAGTGCACTAGATCACAGAGGCAACATCCAACTTTCATACATTTTTAAGCCTGGCTTCAATTTTAATAATAACTACAGTGCGTGTGAAGATACCATCACTGCATTGACGACAATCTTAAATATTAAAAATATTTACAAAAGCTAATTTTTTATTCCCATTGCAATTTTCATAATGGTTAGCACTCATTAATTCCCTCCAATGTGTTAACAAACTAAGCAATCTTTGAAATAAATTAAAGTTTTAAAATAGCTAAAGTTAAAATGTTATTCAAAGAAAAGCAACACCCCAAAGGTCAAATGCAAATTGTACACATGATCAAGCAACTGTTGACTGTTCTAGAACTGGCATGTTGAGGATAAGGTGTCCTTTAATTATTTATGTTGTTCTATGTGCACGTGAGAATGAGTGGGAAAAAGAATATTTTAGTACTTGATTTGTAAGGAAACTATAATCATTTTAAATATGCATCAAACATCAATAAAATATTCTTACAACATTAATACTTGGGTTTAATAAACACAAATTAGTCACTATGCTACTACTGTTGAAACATTGATTGCTTAACATACCACATATTTAAATGAAGCAGACAATACTCAAATATTTCTACAATAACAAAATAAAAATAATATTGTTGCTTATCCATATTCAATCGTCCAAACATGAATAGCACCATTTTGATTCTGCAACTAAATTCACAAGTCTTTGTCCAGAATTAGCTTAATTCATAACTTATAATACAACAGAACAGTAAAATCAATTAACGTCTAACAGAACATCCCATTTAAAAATATATCATCCACCAGAACAAATAGATATCGATTGTCGTTTATAGTTCCTTTGATCCTAATGTAACTAAAATAATACACACCAAAATGAAGAAATGGACAAAATTAGGTTCAATTACAAGCAAACGAAAATTAATCCCGTACTAATACAGCAAAGTCAGGTCAGACATGATGAGTTTCAGTCCCAGATAGATGGTTTCTTTCTGCGACTTATTGTAGGATGTGGGAAAGTAGCAACATTCGAAGATAAGAAATAAGAGTCGTCATCGCCCATTCGGCCCTAGGAGCCTACTCCGCTATTCAGTACTTTGAATTATTAGTTAGAAAAAACATTTTTTTCAAAAATTATAACTGGTACTTTTTGTAACAAGGCTAAATTACAAAAGTGGAATCACGAACGTTTAATGTAATATACACAACTATTAACTCACCAATAATTAAACTTAATCCAGAACAAAGATTCTACTGAGCTGCAAGGTCAATCGAAATGAAAACAAGGAGTTATTTACGAAGTTAGCAGTCAGGCTGAGGCTGCTGTTCCTCCCCCAGCCGCAGCCTCTGCTGCTATTCCCGGGGAGACGCGCCGTCTCAGCTCCAAACGTTACAACACACTCCCACTGTTTGTCTTTAAAGACTCTCCCAAAATTATCCATTTTCTAAACGTGGAAAAGAATTATAAACCGACCTTGAACAGGACTGCTTACGTATAACCCTCTCCGCCGGCTACCTCCGACTCTCAGTCCGCTACCGCGTCCTTCACTTTCAATTTTCTTCTTTAAAACCCCGTTTCCAGCCGCTGATCGACACCGCTGACCCTTCACCTCCTTCTCAGCCTCGTTCCCAACAACCCCCGGGCGCAGGCCGCTGAGACTGCCGGGATAACTGAGGAGTCCTCCCGTAGTATCCCCCGCACGACAAAAAGGATGCGTTGTTGCGAGTTGCGCCCTCTGCAGGAAATACTAGTTGGAACCCAGAGTTGGAAGCCACTGAGGGTATTTAAATGTTGATGTCTGCCTCTAGCTACAGCGTTTTATTCAAGGCAAGAATCCCTCTAGAATTTTTCCCTGTCTGTTTTTTTATTTCAAAATATACCTTATTCATAAAAAAACTTTATATATTCAGAGTCACAAACGCAGTTCGCTTCTGTACAGTAGCATATCAAGGAAACAAACAAACATTAGACTTTGATAACACAGTGTGGAGCTGGAAGAACACAGCAGGCCAGGCAGCAATCAGAGGAGCAGGAAAGTTGACGTTTCGGGTTGGGACCTCATTTCCTCTAGTTTCACACTGTGTTATCTCTGACTCCAGCACCTGCAGTTCTACTATCTCTGAAACATTAGACTTTGACTTTATTCAAGTGAATCAAAGTGATCCCTTACTTGAACCAGACTTATATTAACATGTATTTGCGGCATCAGAAGGGTCCGATAACTGAACAGACTCTCTTTAACTCAGACCTGAGACAGTGGTCTTTCCCCTCTGCGCCTTGAAAGTAGCTGCCCCAAGCTTTAGTGCATCCCTCAGCACGTAGTCCTGGACTTTGGAATGTGCCAGTCTGCAACACTTGGTCAGGGAGTCACCTCCTTGATCTGGAAGACCAACAAGCTTCAGGCAGACCAAAGAGCATCCTTCACAGAGTTGATTGACCTCCAGACACAGTTGATGTTTGTTTCAGTGTTTCAGTTCCTGTGGAGCACAGACCACTGCGTCACAGAGCTGCTCAGGACGAACCTCGACAAAAACCACTGCATCTTTCTCCAGACTTCCTTTGCAAAGGCACTTTCCAGAAGGAGACGTGTGACAGTCTCAACCCCTCATCCAACCACAGTTACTTTGAGGGCAGTGTGCAGTGGCACAGACCAACAGGCATACAAGAAGGATCTGACAGTTAGTGCCCTTCTCACCACCAGCCAAGCGACATCTAGGTGCTTGTTGGAAAGTTCTGGTGATGAGGCATTCTGTCAAATGATTTTGACAGGGAACACATGATGGGATCCATCCTCTCCTTTTCCCGTAGGATGTCAAGGACACTGCATGCTTACCATTTCTGATGGACTTGTGGTCAAAGATATTATTCTTTGCAAATTTCTCCACAAAGGGCAGTCTGTCATTTTTAATGTGTCTACCTAGTTAGTGAGTGCGAAGAGGCTGATAAACAGTAGACGACATTACAGGGAACCTGTTCCTGCTCTCAGCTTAGCTCCACATTTCCATCTTTCAGGAAGAGTTACTGAATCAGTACTAAAAACAGAAAATGCCATAAATACTCAGCATCTATGGAGAGAAGTAATTAAAGTTTCATGTCTGAGGCTTTTCATTAGGAAGTATTGGTGAAAGGTCACAGACTTGAAAACATTAACTGTTTCTGTGGACAAGGCTGCAGAGTATTTCCAGCATTTTCTGTTTTTATTTCCTGCATTTGTAACATTCTGTATTTCAATCAGTGAATAACTAATTGGGAATTGGAACCCTATTATATTTCTATTGTCACCATGCCCAATGTTAAAAGAAAGATGTTTGACCATTACAGCTGAATTCAGTGCTGACTGGACAAAGGAGCCATTAAAAATGCTGAAATAGCTAAGTTTAAAGCAAAAGAGTAGGCCATTCTGCTCTGAATATGGGTTGAACGTGACATAAGTCCCAGTTATACTTTTAACATACTGATGCACCCAAAATAGCTGGGGAAATTGAGCTGATTGTGTCTGGCAATATGTGGAGCATAGAGTTCTGGAATCAGATCCCAGCATTTGGTGTTACTGAGAGGTTCTGTTCTGATTTGATAGCACTTGGAAATATTTAATCAAGATAAATACAAATTTGGTGAACCTGTTTTATGAAATTGGAGTGGAGCAGAGCAACAGATCAAAGAAACAGTATAACGTTGATAATCTGACAAAAATCTTCTGCCTAACTAGCTGAGTCTTTTCAACATTTTTTGTTTTAAGGATGACAGCATAAATGGGGTGGTAAACGATCCAAGCTGTTTGTTGATGTCCATAGTGCGAGTAATTCCATGTTGCACCTATTCACATGAGCATGATCTATCACAGACTTACTTGGAATTGAGCTAAATGGAGACAACTTCACTTATATTGCAAAATTCAAAAAGACACACCTTATAACACCTCAGCCATTGAGTTCTTCATTGGAAGACTAAACAACTGCAGTTGCTTCACTGCCAAGCTGAGCACATACTTATTCATTTTCATACCTACAGACAGCAAGAATTTGCTACAGTGATCAGGAACAACCACTTCACTGTTACTGCCTTGACAGACCAAACTTAGGGCATTTAATGTTCTGTATTATGCAGTTTTAAATTTGCAGTATATAACAATTCATCAATTGATAATTTACTTTTCTCAGTTTGCAAACACTGATGTTTTGACCCAGCGGAGACTAACTGATTCTAAACAGACCATGGGTCAAACATTGAACTTTGCATGCCATGCAGCATGCTGTACAATGCATTTACGAACTGAACCAACAACAAAGGATGGCTAAGTTCTGAAACTCTGCAAGCAGCAAATGAATTTCCCTTAGCATTTTAATATGTAAGATCACATTTACTATTTCTATAAAAGGAACACACTGTTTATCACGAATGTCAAAATTCCCTATGTAGAGTTTAATTAGATTACATTTAAATAACAAAGTAAGAACTTAATACAGAGATAACAAGGTGTAGAGCTGGATGAACACAGCAGGCCAAGCAGCATCAGAGGAACAAGAAAGCTGATGTTTCGGGTCTGGACCCTTCGTCAGAAAATCCCAGGAACTTAATACAGTTTTTAACATGTACTGACATCATGGTGCACCGAGCACACACAAAACTGAACTGTCTTTTACACTAAACATTAATTCAGTATAATTTCTTCTGAATCATTGGGGTGTGAAATTGCTTTAGGCACAGCTTTCCCCTGAAACATTTGTCTTCCATTCCTACCTGATTTCTGACAGACTTTGGTATTTCTCACAGTTGTCTTTATGCTTCAATTCACTTTGGCAATTTCTCCCTTGGTACCAACTCTGGAGAAACAGAGTTAATATGAAAAAGCAAATGAGTAAGCATATATGTCTAAGTGGACTTCTGATGTACAGCCTAACATTCAAAAAGAATCAAGACCTTGATATTTAAATTACTTAAAGTAGCAAATATATAATGCAACTATTGGTGGCACCTTGTGATACTAACACATCTTTGTTTTTCTCCGCAGCTGCCAGATCACAATTCCAGACTGTCAAGAGCACGGAAGAGCCTCAACCCCCATGCCCCTCTTTCCCAGTCACACACAGCTTATCACTGAGGAAGAGCAGCTGGGACCTTCAGAGGAAGCACCATCAAGGCTTTCAGCCCCTTCCTCTACCAGTGCAGAGACATCTACCTTAGTGGATATTGTATCTAAAGTAGACTTGAGGTCACATACTGATAAGCACAATACTGCCATGGGCTGGTGGGTGAAGAGAATGAAACAGTTGAGCTCTCTAACAGAGGACTACTGGAAATCAGGACCCTGCTGAATCATGATGAGCGTGTGAACGTGGTCATTCGTGATTTGATGGAGATGCAGAGGTGATCAGTAGAACATCTGCCACAGGTGCTAGAGACTTGTGCAGACTGTAGTGAAGAGAAGAGAGTCTGCCTACATTCTGTCTGTTGTCATGGCTCCAGCATACAAACACATAGCTGCCTGTATGGACCCAGGTGCTGGCTGCTGAGGACAGCCAGATCCAGCAAAGTAATCAGTATCTGCCAAATATACAGTTGTGCTTCAGTTCACTGGTTTAGCAAGAGATGGTCTTGACCTTTCACCAGGTTCCCCATCCCCTTACGGGATGAACAAATTACCTTTTTTTTTCATTTTTTAAAATTCATTTGTGGGATGTGGGCACTTTGCTGGCCTTTATTGCCCCACCCCAGTTGCCCTAGTGAAGGTAGTGATGAGTGTATCAAAAGGAGGAGGTGCAACAGACAGGCACCAAGACGTCTCTCTCAGCTCACTCCAGAGGTCTGTTGCCCCTTCTACCAGTGACCCAAAAACATCTATCAGCTCAGGCCAAGGATAATGCGCATGCACCCATGAGGAGACCCAGCAGGCCAGAATCGTCTATGCTCAGGACCATCAGAACATGAGCACCCAACTCATCTGGAAGCCAGCACAGCTGTGGCTGCCGAGGAAACTCCTATGTTGTGGTTGAAACAAAAGTTGAAAGAATATTGAACACATTTTGGGTGTGAACATTCTGTACTTCTATGTAAATAAATGCACCATTAGTTTGCAACATCGTTTGGTAGCAAGCAACACATACCTTTAACTATTTTGCATTCCCTTCTAGATGCCTTGAGGGTTCATGATTACCTTAGATGCTCAAATGCTCTTAAGGTGCAGGGTTGCAAAGAACGTTGATGCTGTCACGCACAAATACCTGGGAATTGTGTTGCAAGAGTCAATTAGCAAGGTGTGGCCCCTATACATCTTCGTGACAGAGGTATATCCCTTACAAACCAGTTTGGTTTGATTTGATTTGATTTATTATTGTCACATGTACCAAAACAAAAATATTGTTTTGCATGCTAACCAGACAAATCATACCTTATACAAGTACATCAGGGTAATAGAGCAGAAAGCAGAATATAGCGTGAGGCTACAGAGAACGTGCAGATGGAGTTTAATTTAGATAAATGTGAGGTGTTACATTTTAGTAAGGCAAACCAGGGTTGGATATATACATTTAATGGTAGGACCCTGGGGAATTTTGCAGAATAAAAAGATAGTGGGCACACAGCTGTAGGAATTATTACCTGTGGTCACAGATGACCTGGACATTGAAGGAGTGAAAGCCTTACCTGTTCAGAAATCTGGCTGCATGATGTCAGGGAGGTCTGACAACCACTTGATGACCACTCAGGCTTGAGAAAACATAGCAAT